AAAATTGTCTGCGCTTCGCGCGGCTATAAGAAATATATATTGGACATTAATATATATTCCATGTGTCCCATTTTATGTAACACTTTTCGAATTTCGAGATTCAAACAAGTTTATCTTTGACCGTGAATTTTTCATATATCTTTTAAATATTTTGAATTGCCAATTATTGTGACTTATAGTACTTTTTACGTAGTTTATAAGTATATAAATTTCATTTCAAAAAGTTTGGTGATTCCATGCACAAATTCACGGTCAAACTTAAACTGTTTGACTCTCGAAAAATGAAAAGTGTCACATAAATTGGGACAGAAGGAATAATAGTTATATTCATATTAGTATCAAATATATAGGATATTGATATTTTCTTCATCTGTGATATGATACATTTTTTTAAATCTTTTTTAAACATATAAAAATAATATTTTTTTACATCTTTTAAGAATAAACTATTCATATGTCACTACAACAAAAACACCTCTTAGCGGTAATAAATATACACATTAACAATTTAAAGAGTGTTAAAGCATTTACCTGCATTAGCATCCAATGTCGCTAAAGGATCTAGGGACATATACAAAGAGTATTAATTGCCACTAAAAGTATATATATTTAGTGACAATCAAGTTATTGCCACTAAAGATCATTTTTGATGTAGTGTGTATATAGTAGAATAAAATATTTAGGTGAAGTAAATGAAATATGAGATCATATTTACATATTTTTTTAGGATCCTCTATACAAATTCTAATTTCGTAGAAAAAACTTTTGAAGTTCTTCATTGTGTCTTTATTATTAAATTTATTTATTGTAATTTTTTAAACATTAATTAAATATTTATAAAAATTATGAAAAAGAAACATGAAAAAGTTATAATAATATTTAAGAGTAGAAATTACAAGTAAGATGAAGAGACATGAGTTATGAAACTTATAACATATTAATTGCATTAATAATCATGTATTAATTTTATTTGTAAAACAAACAAATAAATAAATGTGAAAATAAGGGATAGAAATACAATAATGAACAAAAAAATAAAGTAATTGGTGACTGCATAAAAAATATAAATACATTTGAAATAAAAAAGAATAGTGACGAAAACATATTGTTACATACAAAAAAAAAAAAAGACATCATAGAATTAATATTTTATTTTTTAATTATTTTTTGACAAGCATGATAAAAATGAAGCTTATGATCATCATAAAAAAAATTTAAGAATGGATTAGTTATATTAATTGTGCTTCATAACAAAAAAAAATAAAAATAGAATAGTAAAGAACCAAATGAGTAGCATTGTCAATACATGTAGTTAAGTTACTTACACAAACTAAAGTTTGAAACTTTAGCAAAAAGTAGCTACCTTACCAATACAAGTCAAAGTAAAAAAATTATAGCAAAAGTAATCCTTTATTATGCTTCAAAAAAAGTTTTTGTTCTACCATCTTCCTTTGCAAGTAGATACGCCGTCATATTTTATGTTTCATATGTCAAACTCTTCAGCATATGCTACCAATTGAATAAAAAAACATAATTATGAATAAATAAAATATCATACCAATTTAAAGTAATTATACTAAAAGAAAGAAATAAATCTAAACTATATTTAATATATCTATAATTATGTTTTCAATTTTACTAACTATAAATAATAACCATCTCTTAAAATTTAACAAATATTGTAATCAAACTCTATTATATCCGCAAATTGACTATTAGAGAGAACAATCACATACTAACAATACATTGTTCATTATTACAATTTTTTTTATCATACTTGCTTGGAGAATGATAATACATAAATAAAATATTAAGAAAGCATGTCCAAATACATAAAAATAAAAAGAGACTTGAGAATGAAATATTTCTTACCTTCCATCTACTTCTTTTTCGTTACATGTTAATTAAATTCACAAACTAATATGATGAAGAAGAGAAAATATATTCTTGAATGTGAATTTTCATGACATTAAATATGAGTTTATATAAGCAAAATGTAGAAAATGGAAAGAAAGACTTGAGAATGAAATATTTTTCACCTTAGCTTCATGTACTTCTTTTTTGGTTACATGTTAAGTTAATTCACAAACAAATATGATGAAGAAGGGAAATGATAATCTTGAATGTGAATCTCCATGAAACTAAATATGAATTTATATAGGCAAAATAGAGGAATACTATAAGATATCATAAACTTACAATTAATGTTTGGAGGTTATGGACATGAAAATTATGAGAGTCTTGAATATTATTAAAAAGGTTTAATCTATCGGTGGCCCCCTAAAATTGACATTATGTTTCACTTAGACATCTTAACTAAGTCATGTTCATTTTAGACACCTCATGTAGAATTTCGTTATGTCATTTTGACACTTTTTTTAATGTCAGGAAAAATATATAGTGTGTGTATTACACTCACGAATAACGTATAAAATGACAAATTAAACGATGACATTTGTCATTTGTGTCAAATGTAATTTTTAAATAAGTAATTTTAAGTAAAAAATAAAAATAGACCAATGAATTAATGACATATGACACAAATAAAATAAAAATTAAATATAAAATCAATAAAAAGAACCC